ATCTGTTATACAGATAGCGCAAAATGAAGATCTAAGCTAAAAGAGATCTAAAGAGAGATAACTCAATCAAAATTGTTACATAATAATTCAGTTAGTATTATTATTATTATATAAAATAAAAGTATTATTTATATATAACATAATATAATTTTCAATTATTATTCTAAAATAAGAAGAAGATATAGATAAAATCAATAAGAAATTAATTTAACTTTCAAATATAAAGAATTATTAATATTATTTTTTGAATTTGATAATTAAACTTGTAATAATATAATTATAAAAACTATATCAGAATTTTTTGGAATCAAACTAACTGATAGTTTTTTTAGTTATTATCAAATTTTTGATTTTTTTAAAAAAATTTATATCAATAAAGAAAGATTTATTATTATTTTTATTATTATTATTATTATTATTATTATTATTATTAATTAGTAAATATATTAATTAAATTAAGAGAATTAATAAGTAATAAGAGAAGATCAAAGAAAAAGTACTTTTTAGTTAAAATTCTTAAATAATTTATTATTTGCTTCTATTATATTATTATTAATATAAAAAGTAAAAGATAAAAGTTGTTTTATAATAGAAAAGTTAAAATTTTATAGCAAAATAGAAAAAAATATTGATTACAAATAGTATCTAGTTATATTAATAAAAAAATATTTTGATTAAAGAGATTAGCAAAATTTTCTAGTACTTATAAGATATATGAAGACAAAATATTATTATTATTATTATTATTATTTTAGTATATTATAGTATAATTCTACTCTAGATTTAAGAAACTATATTAAAATATAAATAATATTAAATTATTCTATAAATGAATCTTCTATTATATAAAAAGAACTATCAGAATTATCTAACTATTGAAATACTAATATAGTTAGTTACTGATAGACCAATCTAGAACTAAACTGGTATTGTAAAGTTAATAAAAGAGTTATGTAAAACTATAAGATATAGCTTTTGCTCTATGAAATTAATATATAATAGTTTAATATGGCCTGCTTGAGAACAAATATTATTTGTATATGAGGATAGAAAGAAGATATACTTGCAAAGATTAGGATTTAAGTAAGTAAAAATGATTATATTATATGAAGTTAAGACTTTATATCCAGAAAGTTTGCCTTTTGAATTAAAATTTAAGATGAAATATATTTAATTTTCTTCATGATATGTGCTTGATATTATTATTATTATTATTATTATAAAGTTATAATATAGTCTTATCTTTTATATACAGCCCTTTGCAAAGGTAAATTACAGTTATTATGAATCTGAAATTACAATTAGCAAATAATATTCATTACACCATCTCTTAAAGTTTTCAGAAAATGTCAAAAAATAGATTTAAGAAAATCACAAATATAATTTACAGAGTGCAGAATTATATCATTATCTTGTCAAAAATAAATTGATTCTTTCACAAATACATATAAAAGAACAAATATATTATTAATCAAAATAATCAACTTCTATCATTTAAGATATATCTCGAATAACCTAGACTTATCACTATAGATTTTAAAGTTCTTTATTATATTGATAATGATTTTGTACTTGTCTTGAATTTTTTAATTCTATTAATTAATCAGATCAGTATGAAAACATAATTGAAATTGTCATGAATTCTACGTTTAAAATGAATCAATAGCATTTTGAACTCTTTGTCATGAATGCAAATTGCAGTGGATATAGTATGCCTATAGTATATCTATATCTTTAAATGCTGATAATTCAGAAGCAATATACCATGATGCAAATAATGAAATAAGTATCCATGTACAAGCTCTTTATAAATTCATCACCAATCATTGGCAGGAGGGATTGCTATCAGCATTTGTTTTATTAAATAAAGACATGGAGGAGATATTAGCTATTAGTAAAGCCTGGCAATGACTCACAAATATACAATTATGCTACTGGCACTTGAAAAATGCTATTAGCAGACACTTAAAGATAAGAAATCCAGAATAAGCAATTATTCAAGAAAAAATTATTAGACTCACCAATAGTTAATTTTATTATCCAGCGTGGATTGGCAAAATTAGAAACTTATGCACAGATTATGAGATCAAAGAAGAAATAAATATAATCAAGTATCACGTACCAGTTTTTTATATTCATAAGATTCCTGAATTATGGGATATCTCTGAACGAATTAGTATAACAAAAGTGACTGAAAATTATTTGCCATTCATTCTATCTATTACCGATATCTTTGGTTCGAACAATCATAATCACAGAGAGCCGCTGACGAACGCTCAGGTACAAGCACAAGTACAAATTACAACAGATCGTCTCACCAATATTGATCTAGTACAACACAAATCAGTGTTTTCTAATATGGTGACAATCCTTTAAGAAGGATTGG